CTTTCTTTCTTACTAGAAAGCTACTCTGTGATTTGTTAACTCTTTTTTTTTTTTTTCATTTTATTTCACGTTCGCGACTCTAAAGCACATGGAGAAGAGAGGTTTTTTTCGTTGAGCATATTTTTTTTTTTTTGTATTCTCATTCGTTTGCTTGCTGATGCAGTGGGAAAGTAGAAAAAAAAGGCCCTGGGTGAACGAACGTTTAACCGTCGACTGCTGGGAAAATAGCTTCATTGTGGATTTCAACGTCCCCCTAGCTCGATTATCATTAAAAAAACTTGCATTAAAATCGAGTGATTAGAATTGAGAATTTAATCACAGATTCAATATAATTTAAATGTTAGTGACGTTAATTAAGAACATTTTGCTGTTCCAGAATTATTGCATTGAATTTTCAATGACTCGTGAAATGCATTATTCAGTTTTCCTCTGAATTAATTAAATCTGCGATTAAAAACTATCGAGAAAATTAGCGTCAGTTGAATCCGAATAAATTACGACGAATTAATCGACGGTTTTTAAACGCAAGAGGGTTTAAGGTAACGAAAGAGCGTGGATTGTTTCGCGGTTGCCAATTTGCTTTTCCATGGGAACAACGCGTTCCGCGGTAAATAAGGTAGCCGCGTTTGTTGCCCCGGAATCCGGGTGTTGGCCCACTTAGGCCGAGTTTGCCCCGTAGAGGCGATCAAAGGGGTCGGCTTTGAAGCACGCTCGGGGGTAGCGGAGCCGCCTGCATGTACACATGCTCGTATTCATCTGCACCTTTTCACCGTTTTCCATCTTCGCCTCAAAGTGTACCGAGCCTCGCGGCTCTCTATTTTTTTCCCTTCCTCTTCCTTTTTTATTATTTTTTTTTTTTTTTTTTTTTTACTGCCTCCGAGGGTGCACGGTCCGGGAAAAAATTCCTCCAGCCACCGGCGAAATTATTTAGGCTTCTCCAACGCGTCAGAGTCTATTTTTAAACGTCGCAATTTTTTAAAGAGGCCTCCACATCAACGACCCTGATTATTTGTATTTACAATTTATTTCTTCATCGTTCATCTCTTCATTTTGTTTAACGAATCGAATTCTCTCTCTTCTTTCTTGGTAATCCCACGTGCTTCGCGGAATCTGCAAATGGAATTATTAATTGTGGACAGGATGATCAAAGGAGTTTTCAGGGGATGCCGGGAGCGGATCATCGTGGAGGGAGCGGATCATCGTGGAGGGAGCGGATCATCGTGGAGGGAGCGGAGTGATCGAATGGAACCGTCTCCTCGCAGGTTGAACATTTTATGCATCTCCGGGCCGAGTTTTACAGGAAACCTTTGGCTCTCTCCCCCGATTTAAGCGGATTCGCTGCACCAGCGACGCAGCCGGCCTCCTCTCTTTTTTTCGGCTAAGTACTCCACTCTCATCTTTCCCTTGTCTTTTTTTTTTTTTTCCACGCGAACGGCTCGTTGCTTCCATCTTTTCTGTTCAGAGAGAGGAGCGAAACGTTGCTGTCATAGCTTTTAGGAGCTTTGCGACTGCACGTACATCTTCGTTCCTTTTATTTCTCCGCCCTTTGTTCTCTCCGTGCTTCCACGTAGAC